GAGGCGGGAAAATTCTACATAGCCTTCAAAAGGAAACTGGTAGAAGACCTCTTAGTGCAGTACGGGAAATGCCTGGGATTCGAGCACATACGGCCATATCACAGGGGGAAAGAAAACCATTGCAGTCCCTGTGGAGGAAACCACTTCAGGGAGAAATAAACCAGGAGCCTGGAAAAGAAAACTAGCATTGAGGTACTTTGTGACTTGTATGTCTGTGACGTTTGCGAATAGGTCCAGCTGACCTCCCACAAGCGGGTCTCACCAGTCGAATTGAGAAGGCGCATATCATCAAACGACGTTTTGAGCGCGAGAAGCCGAGTACCTAGACGCGACCAAATTAGTATAAATAAGTAGCTCAAACAAAATATAAATCAGTCAGTCATTTACCAACCGACGACTCGTCTATCATTCTCCACCAAACTACCATGGCGAAGTGGTGACAACCAACACATTTCACCTGCGCTATGGTAAAGTCAATTTCGCGAGAGCATTATAATCGCAATAATAATCGCCTATGTTTTTATCATTATAAGTATGGTCAACAGGCGCGCAAATGCACTAAACCCTGTTCTTGGAACCAGGGAAACTAGTCACAGCACGGAACTCGGCAGAACTCTGTGCTATTCATCCATCAAACCGCCTGACTATTTTCGATCGGAATAGTGGCATCCGATTTTTAGTTGATACAGGAGCAACAATATCTGGTATAAATCGATGTTCTGCAAAACAAACGATAAACTCTGTTTATAAGCTATACGCAGCAAATGGTACAAAAATTAATACCTACGGAGAAAAGAATTCAACAATAAATATCGGTTTGCAACGGGCTTTCACATGGACTTTTCGTATATAAACGACGAAAAACAGATCACGGTCTACAAACCATCCGCTACCATCAAGACGACACTTTCTCCGGACCTCCAGCAACCAAAAATGGGACAGTATACGTCGAAGGATCAGATCACCTACAACACAGACAACGCACTCCAGCAAGACGAGGCGGACCAAATCAAGAACATATTACTAATGCAGTCACAGATAAATGGAAATTTGATGGTGGCACAATTAGTGTTAACAGTGTCTTGTATTATTATTATAATAATAGACAAAATACTGAACAAAAGGGTAAAAGACGCCATTGCTAGACACACCGCACAAGTGTAAAGCCTCGTGTACCAGCCACAGACGTGCCAGAATGTCTAACCCTCTTCCGACATTCAGGCACGTCTTAGTGCAAGCAAAAGTTACAATCATGCCTTGGAATCAGCATAGAACACACGTACCAAATTAGTATAAGTAGCTCATACAAAATGTAATCTTCAGTCAGTCAATCCTCATTCAGTATCCAGTAAACAGTCATCAAATAACGACAACTTATATATTTTATTTATACCATGTAACTCATGGTAAAGTGGTGACCCCGCCGACGACGAACACAACCCGACGACGAAGAACAATCCGACGATGAAGAACACACCGCGACTGGAAGAACACAACCGCGTCTGGAAGAACACAGCCCGCCTCATATAGTGGACCACGATATAGCAGCAACTTTCTGCACATTGAGGAAATAACAAACACGGCAGAAAATCAACAAGTCGTCTGCCCAGTGCAAAGGGTTTGCCCGCTTAGTAAAAAAGAAAAAGAGAAAACTATAATCGCTCAACTTCTGCTGATAATTATCATACTCCTCGCTATCACTGTTGCTATTTTCTTCACGTCATTTTTATACATCTACAACACCGCCAACTCCAGTTTCCTCAAAATCAACTAATCGCACCAGAAGCATGGTCGCCGCGCGCCCTCCGTCCTACAGCCGCACAACCTCGCCCGCAAAAGAGACGCCACTATTATATAAACAAGGAAGTACCGAGGTCAATGGCAGCGCTACAAAAGCAGCCCAAAAACCACTCAATCAACGTATTCCTCGAGTTTAAGGCAGTCATCAAAGCGACAAGAGGGTAACGACAGACTGCATCAGGTAAAACTCGAGGAAGCAAGTGCTGCACCGTGCGACAACGACGCCGCCCAGGAGATCAAAGGGAAAATGTCCCCCCATGACCCTATAGTGGTAATTGCAAAGTGCACTAGGGTGTTGCTCGACGACCGGATCGTGGATATGGCTGAAACTATATCCAGAACACCGGATGGGGCGGATGGGTTAACGGCGTGCTCGGAAAAACAACCTGGGTAATCAACAACTACAGGGAGAAAAACCTGATAGCAACAGCGACCACAGAGGCTGTAAATAACCTTTGAGAGAATGTAGCAGCTACCAGACGCGCCAATGTCATGTGTCAAACCCCCTTTCGACATTCAAGCACGTCTTAGTGCAAGCAAAAGTAACTATCATACACTATAAATCAGCATAAAGACGCATGTACCAAATAATAAATAAGTTTCTTAACCAAAATATAACCTGTCATTTACCAACCAATGACTCAATAATTTGTACCTTACATCATCATGGCCAAGCGGTGACAACACCCTTTCACCTGCGTCATAGCACAGGTCCTTTATAGATAAATATATAGAATATATATAGGTAAATAACAGTGGCAACCCCGATGTGAAGAACACAGTCCGCCTACAAGGAAACAGCCAGTCGGGACAAGCCAGAAAAATCGACTTCATCAAGTCATTCATTTAAAATGGCTACAAACAAAAAACCCAAAGAAAAAGAAAAAATATAATCGCCCAACTTTTGTTGATCATTGTCATAATCATCGCTACCACTGCTGCTGTTTTCTACACGTCTTTTTTTATACGTCGACAACACTGTCAGCTCCAGTTTCCTCAAATGGCTGTAACCTTCGGAATTCCGGAGTCCTGGAGGGACCGACCACGCCAAATAAGAAGCTTAATTATCGCCACACAGAAACTAACAAGGTAGAAATAAAAATAAACAAACTTCCCATGGACAAATTAATGAAGTCACCAACAAAAATTTAAAAGTCCAAGAACTCTTAAATAATGCATATTGTTATAAACAAAGAAGTAGCGAGGTCAATGATAGCACTACAAATGATTAGAACAACAGCATCGCGTTACAATTTAACACTTTCACAGTCGACAGTTATGAGCTACAACATAAACAAACACACTCAAAACACTCGACGGAATACGAGTATGCCTTATTTTCAGTAATTAACAGTGGCGAGGCGTGGAAATTTTCCTTAGCAAAGCCGAAGCAAGAAAACGTGATCCTCAGAAGAACCGAAAGAGACATGCCAAGTCCTGTCCAACAAAGGCAATCCAAGAAAGTCGTGTTGGCACTGGCTAACAAGAGCTTACAGCTGGCACAGCTCCCGAAGCAATGGAAAACGTTACAAGTGACCATCCTTCGGAAGAATACCTATGTCACACAAACTAAGTCATATAGGTCAATAGACCTGCTAGCGGTTTTAGGAAAAGTAGTCGAGAAACTCATGGTGTACCGACTAAACGGCTTCATGCCTTAACGCAGAACAGAAGAAATGTGTGTTTTGTGAAACTTTAAACATGTAGTCACTTCTAGTTAGTTTGACCATTCAGTTAATTTTGATGTTGATTCAACGTAGGATGCGTATTGTAACATATTTTATGAGTATATCTGACATGGGGGCACATATCCTCCGAAGGTTTTGCCGAGGTGGTCGGCCACAGCTAAGCACAAGGCCTCTTGCTTCGGAGCCGCTACCACTTGTAAGCCCAGGGGAATGCCGTCGCTATTTAGGCCGAGAGGGACCTGATGAGAAAAAAAATTACATATAAATACACAGAACAATAAATACAGTAGAAGAGCTTAGCGGGCATAGCACGTGTGCCAACAGTACGTGGAGTTCCACATCCTTGAGCTCAGTCCGCCATTTTTGCTTTGCACGTTATGGTCGTGTCAATTATCCGCAAAACCTCAAAAATCGTTGCTATTTTAGAATAATAATAATAACGCACGCACTCATAGCCCCGCACTAGGGAAACCCTGTATCGCGGGTGCCATGAACACACACATAGACAACATAAATTACACCCAAACTCGCGAGAGAAATAAATGTAGACCATACAAATATTTCTGCCGGCCCGGGAATCGAACCCGGGACCTCTTGCACAGTAACCGTTCGGCCACGGAAGCAGGCAGGCAGAATGCAAAAATGATAGTCTCACCTGTCCTATTTTAATAAATTTTCGACTTTTTTTAAGAGCCTATATTGTCCCACTGCTGTGCAAAGGCCTCCCAGAGACATAAGTAAAGTTGCCAAGTTCCTGCGCCTGTAATTTAACCAGCGCTCTTACCCTTCAAAACGGGAACGCAGACAGACGCAACACATTACTGGTTGTGAACCAGAAATACGTAAAGGCTCTACTGCTACTGACGCATTGTATTGTAATGTATTGTTGTTGGCTATCCATTCTAAATCAAATAAATATAAAATAGAACATATTGTATGTATTACCTGTGCAGCGGGGCAGTGCAACGCGTTGAAGACGCCCCAGTAGGCGAAGCTGAAGGGACGCAGCAGCAGCGAGTAGTGATACGGCGCGGGGCGGGGGGCGCTCGGGAACAGCAGTACCCCGTCCGTACCCAGGGTTTTCTGCAAAGAAACCCGTGCTGCAATATACTTTGGCCCGTCTTTATATCTCTACAGGCAGGGTTCTGTCACTCGTTCAAGTTAATAAGTGCCTACCGCCAAGTGTACCGAGGTCGGCCCAAGCGCTTCGGTCGCGCCACGATTCCGTGGCTTAGTTGGTATAGCGTCTGGCACGGTATGCAAGAAGACGTCGGTTCGAATCCGACCGGATCGAAGGAATTTTTTCTGAGTGTTTTTTCTGAGTGTTCGATCTTTGTATTAATAATTATAACAAACTAGTGGAGTAATTTCACAAAAAATAATTGAATATCAATTCAATAAAAATTTCATTAATACAGTGAATAGCGACATCTCTCGCCAGGACTGGTAGCTGTAAAGGTACTAACTGGGTGATAAATCTGTAATAGATTTCTCATAGATGGCGCTACGACTAAAAAGTCGTTGAAAGACCAAGTACAAAAAACACGACGCAAGCACATAGAAAAATTCGTGAGGTCCGTTGGTTCGTTCCGTGGCTTAGTTGGTATAGCGTCTGGCACGGTATGCAAGAAGACGTCGGTTCGAATCCAACCGGATCGAAGGAATTTTTTCTGAGTGTTCGATCTTTGTATTAATAATTAAAATATTTTATTTTAAAAATATATTTTCTAATTGCGCTTTAGATGTCTTACTTTTCCAGATTCGATATAGAAAAATTTTAAGTTTCAACAAGGAATAGTGCTAAAATTTGCAATTATTTTTCAGTCTTACAATGAGGTCGTTCTTCAAATCGTTTGTCAGCTTCTCGGCCCACTCCGCGTTAACCTGCGGTAGTACTTGGTCGTCAAACAGCTTCATAATCGCCGCCATCGTGAACTGCGATTGTCCGATTAACTAAAAACACATGAATAATAAATATAAGGTTGTGAACCTTTTACAACATGCAGGTTATTGATACTGAACATACTCAAATGCACGTAACTTGGAATTGAGGCTATCAGCGCAAAAGTGGTGTTACCCACACTAAAATTTTTTCCTAAAATATCACAAATAGGCAGTAGTAAAAGAGTACAAACGGAGATGGGAAAAACTCCTATTTTTTAAACGTTAAAACATTGTTTTTTTTTAATAAACGCATGCCTTTTTAAACGCTTTTTAGTTTGAAGTTTAAAAATCGTTTAGAAAATCGTTTAAGCGAATAGACTTTTATGTTAAAAAGTAAGAGTAGACCACTGATGGTTTTAAGTTACGTAAGTTTATTTGTAAAACACGAGTTTTATTTTTATTTATAAAATTATTATTCAAATAGACGAATCAATTTGTTTAGGAAACATAGATGGCGGAACTTGATACATAATCACGTTGTAAAAATCAAATTGTTGAGTGTTGAACTGACCAACGCCTACGCTTAAATTGAAAAGCGTATTTAACTGCTTATTTTAAAATAGGTGACCTCATTGCTACAAGTTTGTTAAGGACATCCCTAATCTGATCGAGGTATGTACGATAAGGTCCACCTCTTCCGATGTTTCCAAACACATTCACTCTCTAAATTCTTTCGTCATCTTCGCGGCAAACGCTTTAAACAACCATAAACACAGCATTGAACCATGTTGAACTCTTGCAGACAAAACATTACAAATTACCTTCTTGCCGAGTTCGACAAATGCTTTTGCCTCTCCGTTGTTGTTAGCTAGCATCTTCGGGAAGCTGTCCGCCTCCTTGGACATACCATGCTTCCAAATCGAGAACATGTGGTCGAAACCTTCGTGGTAGTACGCCATCGGCACTTTGTCTGTCGATGGCGCTTCTTCTGTTAGTTTCTTTATTACTCTGGAAGAAATTACAGCATAAATTTTAGCTTAAAATACTATAAACAACAATGTAAAGATAAATTCGCATCCCCCATTGGAATGGCATAAGTGGAATGTAGGTTATATTTTTCTATATACATGTTTGACTTAATTGTACTGTTCAGAAACTAGATAAAATAAGCATGTAATTTTGAAAAACTACAGCGCATGACAACTGTACAAATTCCACTTGAAGTAAAAAATATTTATTAAATTCAAATAAACAAGAAGTCTGTTGTCGAGAATCCAGCATCACCAGCCACCAGTCTCGGGACTTGTCAACTTATGTCCCTGGGTGACAGGCGCAGTGGCAGTACCCCCCAGAACTTTGCGTTTTAAAGCTGCATTCAGAAGTGGCACTGCAACTGTTATGGACAGGGTGTAGCTTACCACCAGGCACACAACTTGTACGTCCCATCACGTGATATTACAAAAAAACCTAGGCCACCGAAAGGTATTTTTGAATATTCACTTCAACGGGCGCTGATAGTGCACATAAGCATTGTTTGTGTAATTTTCTATCTCATTAAAATTTTGTCAAATAACGTAGTACGTTCTTTACATTACAGGCCCACATAGGACTTTGGGTTAAAGCTCAGAGTGGCACTGCATGTCTTGTTCGTCCCGCTACTTGGAACCATAAAAAAAAGATTGCTTAAAACCATCCCGATTAAATTAAGCTTTAAATAAAAAACGACTTTAAAATAAGAAAAGTCCATCCGTTTGGGAGCTACGCTGCCACAGACCGACATACAGGCCCACTGATATACAGACAAAGGATGGAACTTATAACTCCTCTCTTTTTACGCTTTAAGCCCTGAGGCTTAAAAAAAGATGGCGGATTCAAAATGGTAGCCAAATAAAATTTTCTTCTTTCTTTTTTTTTTCTCTTTTAGATTTCTTAATCATAATTCGTTTAATTTATCTATACATTCATCCATAATATTTGTTAATAAAGAAAACTAATAATAATAATAAAACAAAGTTATATACAGATATTAAGATGAGAGTATTACGTACCCAATAGTCATAATACAATATTACTATTATTATTATTTGTTCATTAAATGTAAATTAGTCGTACGTCACAGTCATAATATATGTAATAATTTCTTATTTTGTATAATTTTTGTTTATTTTATTAATATATTAAATGATATTGGAATAATTACAACAGTTGGAATCATTAATATTCGATGTTTATTGTGACGGTGGTTTAAATGAATTGGTTTATGTTAGAAAAACAATGAGTTAACAAGACCAGGCTGAAAAAAGTGCCGCGTGTCACACAACAATAGGGATTAAACCGAACCGGTTCCTTCCACGCACTTCCGATAATATTATTATATTCTGTTTTGTATTATTGTGTGTGGTAAATAAATGGTTTAAAACGGTAAAAAATTATTATATTAAAGTTTTATTAGTCATAAAAAGGTACAAGATAACAACTTACTCTGACATAGCCTTCCTTAGATCTTTACATACGGGACCCACTCGCAAGTCTTGGGCGGATTCTGTGTAGAAGAATTTGACGTCCTGAAAAAATAAAATTTTATTTCCAACTTCAAAATTATTATTTGAAAAAAAAAAAAAAACCGACACAGAGCCAACAAATTGTGATGTTTTATACTAATTGTGGTTTTACGATTGTCACATACCATTATAAACTTTAAAAATATATACTTTTCTGGTCTGAGTTTTCAGTCAACATATCGATTAGTTTTCTAGTATTTCTATTTCTTCTTGTTTAAGTGTAGCACCAACCTATTGTCTTTTTTTTTCTGTTTGGCCCAATGGTTGACTGGTAGAGAATGCCTTATGGCATTAAGTCCGCCATTTGTACTTCAGTGTATTGTACAATAAAGTTTAAATAAATAAACTAAAAAATATAATCTAATCTGTAAAGATATGAATTTTGATTGGCATTCACAGATTTTGAAAAAATGGTACAGTCAGCAAGATAAAAGGGAATTTTTACAAATCTTTTTTTACGTCGTTCGATCCGGTCTCTGGTGAGGATCAATAGTTTCTATGGAACCAATTGAGGCAAAGGTACTCGAAATGTCAGAAATCGCAAAAAACTTTTCACCATACTTTTTGTAGGGACATATTTAGTAATCTGTTCTTAATTCTAGGTAGTTAAGGAAATTAACAAATTGACAACGTATTATGTATTTCAAAATAAAAACAATAACAAAAAGCAAAATAATTGATTTTGAGCTTGAGATTGCCGCCTTGACGAATGCATCAATTCGTTCTCGTCCGCAAAGAGCAAGAAGCGGCTGAAATTCTACTCGCATGGATTTCATTGTAAATTGCTGCAAGTGCGTCTTTCAATTTTTGAACACTGTTGTATTTTATTTATAAATTTCATTTTTTACACAGCCCCAAAGAAAAAAAGCAAGGGTTCAAGGCTGCGCGGTGGCCATTTGATATGAAAAAAAAAAACCATGTGTTCCTATTAATTTGTTTCCACCTTGAGAACATTTTGGTTCAAAATCGTCTTAAAAGTGACAATTCTCTATTAACAAAACAAAACAAAGGTGTTCCAAATTTAAAAAATAGTGATGTGATTATAATTTGGTTTTACTTAAGTCTTATTTGTAGAGTAGTGGCCAGTTTCGTTTCTAACAAAAACTTTTCATTTAAAATGTATGGTAAAAGGTTTCTTGAGATTTCTGACATTTCAAGTACTCTTACCTCAGTTGGTCCCATTGAGACTGTTGATCCTTACCAGAGACCGGATATAAATGAATGGCATAAAAAAAGTTTTGTAAAAATTGCCTTTTATCTTGCTGACTATACCATTTTTTAAAACCTGTGAATGCCAATTAATATATCTTCAAAATTCATGGATAGTCTTATAGAACCGTTTTCCTGTAACTACAACGATTAAGTTAGCTGGCCTTGCTGCGCCGTATCAAATTTACAGCCTGTATATACACATACATATAATGTTATATTATTTTGATTTTTTTTAATAACTAAAAAAGTGTTATTATACACTGTAATCATTTTTCATCATATGGGCCGTCTGATTGTTCGAATATTATAAAAACAATATGTTAAGAACATACCTTAACGTTAATTTTTCGTTCGAAGTCAAACTCCTTAGCATTGTCTGCTAGTACGATCTTGGTGAGCGGCGCCAGGTCCTCGCAATGCTTGCTCACGAAACCGATGGAGGCCATCGTTGGCTCCAAACCCGAACGGAGGGCAGATCCTGGAAAAAGTCGTCATTAATAATATCAATACAGAGTACTAAAAAAAATCGTTCATCCCCTTGTTTGCCACTTTGAGAGGTGGAATGTTGTCTTCAAATTTAAATGGGACCACCTCTGAGGTACCCTTTTTTTTACAGTTCAAAAGAAAAATATGTACACTTCAAGGGGTTCAAAAGAGAAAAAATGCATAGCTGTAACTGTGTTTCCGCTTTGAAGGGTACCCGGTTTGCCAACTTTATGTCACAGGGTGTGCGACGCAGTGGCAATGTCCCTTAGGCGTTTGCAATTAAAGCTCTGAGTGGCGCTGCAACTTTTATAGGTTGCCGTACAACTTAACTGTCTTAAAATTAACACACTGACGTTCAGGTTGTTTTGATATTTATATAATATTTGAAATAAATGTTGTAAATGATAAATATATGACAAATGTTTATTTGCAAAGGCCAATACCTCGAATTTCTTATTAATTTTTCTGAGGGAAATTTTTGTAGCAGTAGCTTTGTCACTTTAACTATTTCTGCCGTCATGCAGTAAATGTGAGCATTACTGCGTTCCGGTTTGGAAGGGTAAGGTTGCTGGTGAAATTACAAGGACTTGTAAACTTGTCACAGGGTGACGGGCACAGTGGCAGTCCCCCCAAGATTTAAAGCTCTGAATGACACTGCAACTGTTTGGATATGCATGTATTATAAAAAAAGGAATCTGCTTTACGAATGAGTAGTTTAATCAATATGACGATATCGAGTGTAATTTACTTATCTATGAAAAAAGTCACCAATGGTATATCGCACCTTTATAATAAGTGACCTAATTAAAAAATTTAACAAAATGAGTTTATACCGTAAAACGACTTTAAAAAGCATTGTTCATATGAGTGTTAATCTGGAGCTGACACTTTAAAGCTCGAATGGCACAGATCCGGAGTGGAATTTAAAACATAAGGACAAAAAATCATATAGCGAATATGATTTTTTGTCCTTAAATTTTAAATTCCACTCCGGTATGTGAACGCCACATTTACTGCTGAACATGTATCTGCAAATACTACACGTCACCACTGACGTATTGGCGAAAAAATGACGTAGAAATGAATTTTCGTTCATAATCATAATTTCCGTACATTTTGCAGGACTAACAAGAACATTGCCTTAGTACTTTAGGAGTAAATAATGTAAAAATGTCACAAAGTCAAAAAGTTGGAATTTTGTATTGGGTCACTTTAATTCTAAAGCTGCGAATTATGTGCGACGTGCGAGTGAAGTAATTGTCAGTGACACCTCTTTCCGGTGTCGCTACTTGACACGTGATATGCTGAATTTGCCAAACGTGTGCGACATCCGCGTGACTGCTGACGCGGGCCACATGGGCCTTTTCTTCTCGGTAATTTACAAAGGCAGTTCTTTGGCCTTTGTTTTACGTCATTTGCATTTTCAGATTCTTAGTAACAGGCAATCGATCTGTTTTTGAGAGTCCTGTATTTTTCTGTTCCTGATTCTGTCCCGATTGTTTCTTCCAAAACAATAAAATGATCATTACATGAAACTTAATCTATCTGCATCGAAGAATGTCAATTATATTCATTTCGTATGAAAAATATTTTATATATGACCAACTTCTGTTGTCCTGATTTTTTCTTCTAATACAATATATTGATTCTTACATGAAAGTAAATCTATCGAAATCATCAAAATCGGTGCAAAATTGTCGAAGTAATCGCGTAACATGCATACAAAAAAAATCTTACTTTTTTAAAGTCGGTTAAAAAGATAACTCCACTTCACCGTCAAAAATAAAGAATGATATAACTTACATTACAAAGTAACTATGCTGTGGCGTGCGAAAGCGGGTCACGTTGACCCATGTCGCGGCGTAATGTGATCCTCGATGATGTGGTGCTGCATGACGCAATACTGATAGGTGACCCAGGCTATATATAATCTGTACTCTATAGGCGGGAATTGCCCTGAATCGATCGTGCGCTCCTTTTTGGCTATCTTTTATAATGTTAACTCGTCTTGCTTCACCTTCCCTTATGTTAAATCATAACGCTCCTTATGATAGTGTTCTTCGAATTTCAATTTCTTCATATTATTAAAAAAGTACACGACACGACAAAGTAAAATAACTTTGTTTTATAGAGACATGGTTATTGTTCGGTGTCCTGGATAAAAATGATGTAGTAAGTGCAATTAAAATTAACGTGAACTTAATTGCTGACCACGCAACATGTGTCACGTTTTGCAGTCAGACAAAACATTTAAGCTACCTATACTTTAACCGATCGATGATTAAATTTATTCTAATTAGAGATTTTTTATTTTTATATTAAGAATTGACAACAGCTAACTAAATACATCTTACAAAGAACAATATTTGTATTAAATAACTTAGATCAAATTAGCTATCCATGAGTTATCCACAATGACATAAATTATTGAAGCCTTATAAACAAACAGACCAAAAAAAAGTCAGTAGTGGGTTAAGAGCACTTTAAATTTTTATTTAATAAAAAGTAATAAGTACCAGGATCTCGGCTCCGGCTACCTATTTACAGCCTTTCGAAACCCATGGCCCGTGGGGTCCCGGTGCCCTTCATCTGTACAAAATTTTATCCAATAAATTAATAGACTGTGGAAACCCAAGGGCCGGCAGGTACTTTGCCCAACGCATGAGCATAGCCACACAAAAGGGGAACGCTGCCAGCATCTTGGGCACTTTGCCGCAAGGACCCAATTTTATTTATGACTAAAAATTATAATGTAATTTAAAAATGTTAGTTTTACTTTCTAGTATTTAAGCTTTTATTGTGCCTTACCTGTACATTATCAAAATAAAAATATCATAATTCAAATTGATGATAACTTATTTGTTGTGATATACTAATATTCATTTTATTACCTACACTTCGCATGCATTGATATCTATAAAACATATACAAAACATGTGCAGATTATGTAAAGTGTAAAGACATTCAAAAACATTACAAACGGACTATACGTTACCTATCTAATTGATCTTCAGACTTAACAACCTTTAAGAAACCTCATTCTTTAACCAATGAAGGGGTAGATCTTATATTGAAATGGAATATTTAATATAACACGAGTATCATCATGGCAATATAATTATAGCTTTCAATTTAAACTATACATACATTGACTTACAAATAAATGGACGACGGGTCTAATACGAAAACCACGAAAAAAATGTCCCAAGTCAACCTATTCGAAATTTAAATTGTAATGTCATCGCAGTATCGCGCTGTCAGTAGAACAAATGAAGACTAAAGCGGAGTGTCGCGCTCTGTATACGATTTTAGCGCCTTAAGCTGGGTATCCATTTGAGGCAGCCTCGGGCCGAGCGGCTGCCTCGGCCCGAGGCAGATCTAGTGGAGACGTGCCGCGAGTCGAGGCTTGCCGCGACTTGAACCAAACGAGGCGGCCGCGCGGCGAGCCAAATCGTGTCGGTAAATGGTCATGCTCAAAGACGCCTCAGTGTGAGGCGTGCGTTCAGTGGAGACGGGCTCGGTACGCGGCAAAATGGACAACGAGAAATGTTTCGAATTAATAAAATTGTATGAAAATTACCGACATTTATGGGATCCAAGTTCACCGCATCATTATAATAAGCAATTAAAAGAAGATGCATGGAAAATAATAGCCAACAAAATGCAACTAACCGTTTCGGAAGTTAAAAAAAAAAATTACTTCGCTTTAGTAGATACTTAGCTTTAATAGATTGCTTTGACACTCTAAAAAGGTATTGCAAACTAACAAACGAATCACCACTTGCCAAAAACCTCAGGGTGATCGCCAGTCTTTCTCTTGTTGTGATTGCTTTGCGGAACGATGTATCTTTTTTTCCAATTATTGGTTCAAGTTTGATACATAGATCTTCAAAGGTTTCAGAATTCATTCTGGTAAAATTTTTAATAGTTTCTTCTACGCCTTCAAAGGTCATATCTGACAACAATTGATTTGCATGAACATTTCGCTGACGATATATTTCCTTAATCCACCATCGATGTTTCCGTTTATTCTGTTGCTTCCTTTTGTAGTGACTAATTACTACTAATGCTGCAGCGACTTTACGTGCGTTAACCATGGTGGTCGACGAGGAATTGAGAAAATCGTGGCTCGGGTTGAGGCATGCCGCACTCGACGATAAATGTGATGCTCAAGTGGAGACGCATGTAGTTTCCGCGGCCCGCGGCACGCTCACGACGAGGCAGCTCGCCACGAGGCTGCGCAAGTGGATACCCAGCTTTACAAGTGCGGACACTTTTTAGCGCGGACCCGACGTCCATTATACATATCATACTTTTATGGGAGCAACTCGAGATGTGTCAAAAATATAAGGTCTTAATAAAAACAACCTAAGCTGCGATTCATATCTTTGTATCTATAGAATAAATGTAACTACAGAAAAATTTACATGAAAATAAATAACAATTTAAGGCTATATACATATATATATATTGTCATGTTAATGTAGTAAAACAAAGCTCTTTGTTATTACGTCCTACTGCACGGCACGGGTCCCTTCAAAGAAAAAGTTTAAAGCCATGTTCCGCCATGCTGGCCGGTTGAAGACAAACTCAATTTTCTTTCATGACACCAAGTGACGGGATGAACAAGTCGTGCGCCTGATGGAAAAAGACACGTCTCTCCATAGCAGTTGCAGTGCCATTCAGAGCTTTAAATCGCAAGGATCTGGGGGCCTACCATAACCTTTCCAAAAACAATCTTATTTCAATGTAAGCTTAAACTAAGCTTATTATAATATTACTCATATTCATACCATGACAAACCTGTCAACCAAGTGAAGTATAATTGCAAATCTGATTGAAAGAACGAATGATTTCCCAATATTATCTATTCCTTACTAAAAATAGGAAAGAGATAACGCTATGTGAACTATATAATGCCATCTCTTTCTTTTTTGATGTTCCGAATCGTCTTATCGTATTATAATGTTTAAGTACTTTATGTTATTTACATTCAGAGAATTTTGACTGTTAAGAAAAATATGTAATAATAAAATCTATTAAAATTACGTTGTTTTCAATAATTATTCCGCATTGTCATGAAGAAAAATAAATAAAACAAGCCGAGTCTTGATAGTCACGTTGTGAATTCGGACCTATAGTCTATAAAAATAGTGTCAACTGTTAGTTTCGCCAAGGAGCATATAGATGGCGCTGTTATAATTTTACGAAATAAACATCGCCTATTCTTTTCAATGAAAAATTATTTACTATGTCCTATTAAATAAAAAATAAACAAAATATTGAAGAAATATACGTAAATACATAAGTTCAACTTAACTTTTAATCATTACAAATCAACATTAAGACAATAAAACTGAAAATAATATTGTTTCCATTGCATCCGTGGAACTATTTTAAGATTGCTAAATTTGACATAAGAGCAATATTACTTTAATATTAAAGTAGCGTCATAATACGAACTGAGTGAATGAATAGTCACAAAGCTGCTAATAAAACATCATAGTTTTAACATTACAATAAGCTTACTTCAAGCGCGTTATGATACGAAATCAATGTAAGTTTAAAGTATTATTGTTTTAAGAGGTTGTGGTAGGCCCCCTGAGGGGCACTGTCACTGCGCCCGTCACCCTGAGACATAAGTTGACAAGTCTCATGTACCTGCAATTCCACCAGCACCCCACCCCAGCACTTACCCTTCAATATCGGAATGAATGTTATACGTGTCATTAAAAGTATCAGTATTAATTGCATTATACTCTCTGCATAAGCGCAAAATTGGGGAGTTTAGAGCGTAATTGGATCTAGAACGCGGGATATGGTATATATTTTTTTATTTAGTATTTTGGTTTAGTCGATTTTAAAATAAAATAATGTGTGAAAATCGTTACAGTTTAGTGTCGCTCAAAGTTTTAAATAGCAAAGATCGAGACAATATGGGAAGTACTACCACTGCACCCGTCAGCCTGAAATATAAAGTAGATGAGTCCCATGTGCCTGTAACTTCATCTGAGCCTTCAAATTAGGAAAGCAGTAATGCTCAATTTACTGAGCGCCTTCAAATCCGGAACGCAGCAATGCTCAATTTACTGTTTGGCGGGAGAAGTAGGTATGTACAAGCACGTCGATGTGTTTTAATGTTTTGTTACCTTTAAGGCTAGTATATCCAGCAGTGGGATTTAACGCATACAGTCCGCAGTAAAACGCAGGCATGCGAGTTGAACCACCGATGTCGGAACCTGAAACACAAATAATTAAGCTGTTGTCAATCATTTAACTTCCTCGCGAGTTATTTCTTTTGCGTTATTTCAATAATTACTTTCTTTAATGATATAAAAAGCGCGAATTTGACCTCCATCTCAGCCTCCGACTTGAAAACACCCAAAATATTGCAATTTTTTAAATTTCTGATACGAAGTGACGGGACGTACAAGCCGTACGCCTAGTGGTAAGCGACACGCCTTTACATAACTGTTAACACTGCCGCACAGAGCTTGAAATCGCAAAGATCTGAGACACACGCATTTCACCCATAACCCTGAGACATAAGTTGACAAGTTCCATGTGCCTGTAATTTCACCTACCCTTGAAAACCAGAACGCACTAATGCTCACATTTGAAATAGGCAAGCTCTACTGCTACTATTCATGGAACTGTCATTCTAATGTAAAATAATCTCAGTACAGAGTACTAAAAAAACCGACCTCAAAAGTACGTGGAATTACGTCTATTTGCTAAGTTTTATTGAAATATCCCCTAGTTCGCTACTATACAGGACTTGATACTGGAGATAATAAAAATCGGTTCTCACTACTCAAAGTATATTGAGAGAAAAACGCCTTGAATTGGAGAAATAGCAACCATTAAAGTAATTGCTCCTAAATTAAAGTTAGGAGCTATTTATAAAAATGAATCTTCATGCGTGAACAGCCACCCTTCGAGGTGGATGATTTTCTTCAAAATGAAATGGGACCACTATGGAACTACCCCCTTTCCAACAAAAAAAAAACATGAAAATCGGTTCATAAATACCGGAGTTATCGCGTAACATACATACAAAAAAAAACATACAGTCGACTTGAGAACCTCGTCCTTTTTTGAAGTCGGTTAATAACATTTTTTCGCAAAAATATGAGCCATCCATTAAAGTTGTTAGCTACGATGTCATAATACGAATTTCATTTCAAGATGGTTGCTTTTCAAACTTGTACCACGTGAAAGCTTCTTAGAAAAAAAAATCATTCTGTTGTATGTTCTTATTGGGTGACAGAGGGAAACCAGGTTTTTCCAATATGGTGATTTTATTTGACAATATATATAGTATGTACAACGTCGGTGGTGCAGTGGGAAAGGACTCCCCCTAATCGGCACGTAGTCGAGGACCCGTACGCACGTTCCAATTAGGAAGCGGCTCAGGGTGCAACAACTACGTGTTGTTACGTTCTAAAGCGGAGTACCAAATAGGAAGCAGCGCTAGAAGCGTAGCATAGTGCAGTAGGTTCAACGGTAACGATCTAAAGCGGAGTTCCAAACAAGGAAGCAGAGCTAGATGCGTCGTAAGTCGGATTACTTTCATGTTCGCATCGCCGCCAGTAGTCATTCCGCGAGGGAAAATCTTAACACCGCTATGCAGAATTTGCTATTTCGACGCCAATGCCATCTAGCGGTGCGTGACGGAACTAATGAGTTGTTGCCTGTTATGTGATTTTGTTACAATTCTAATTCATCGTGAGACGAATCTGTCTTTCTGAATCTTTAGCATGATTTATTGCTATATGCAAGTCGTCAGTCGAAGATTACAAATATTTGTAAAGATCTGTTGTTGTATGATAGATGATGACGTTAGGCTATTGGATGAATAACCTTTGGCTTAATAAATCCGTTCCCAATTTCACCCCTACCCTTCAAAACCGGAATGCAGTAATGCTGACATTACTGCTTGGCGGCAGAAATAGGTAAGGTGACAGTACTACCATGAACGAACTCTTGCACAAGGACCTTAACTGCTACAAAATTTATTTTATAGAACATGAAAGTATGTACGGAGAACCAAAAAAACTATGAAAACTAGTACAGCAGGTTACTCGAAGTACCCATTCTACGCAAACTAAGTCACGGGCACCAGCCAGTAAGCCATAAATACTTACATAAAGAGATGGGCGAGGCCAACGCAGCAGCGAGGGCGGCTTCTCCGCCGCTGGAGCCCCCTGTGGTACGGCCTGTGTGGTACGGGTTATTTGTCTGCCCGTACAGCATGTTGCGGGTTTCTTGCCTGCCATTGAACGATGGACACATTACACTTAAAAGGTCCACAGGTTTTGTAAACTTTTTCACGCTTGTTTAAAAATACAATTAGGAAAGAAAGAGAGGAATAGGTAACTAATTTCACAAAAATGCAAACAATAATTGGATTGTACCACATGACCTTTGTGGTCGAGTGGCTTGGACACCGGTTTTCATGGTATCGTCATCTCTGAGGTCTCAGGTTCGATGCCGGCCGGATAAATGTAGAAAACTTTTTTATATTGTCTCGGGTCTGGTTGTTTGTGGTACCGTCGTTGTTTTCGATTTCAATAACACAGGTGCTTTAGTTACTTACTTTGGGATCAGAACAACGTATGTAATGTTGTCTAATATTTCTTTATTTATATTTACCATACTTTAGGCGAATAATAATAGTAACAATAATAACGCGCACACTTATAGCCCCGCGCTAGGGAAACCCTGTAACGCGGGTGCCACGGACACACATAGACAAGTACATATTATACCCAAACTCACGAGAGAAATAAATGTAGGCCATACAAGTATTTCTCCCGGCCCAGGAATCAAAGCCGCGACCTCTGCGTGTCAGTCCAGCATGGTATTTGTTCGGCCAAGGAAGCATTTATATATGTACATATATAAAATATAAATGATAAACAAAATAAAATGTTTCTTTATACACCCATTAATAAATTTAACATTACTTATTATATTACATAACAATTAAATTTAATTTTATTAACTGAAAATTATTATAATTAATGAAGAAAATAATTAAATTATTTATATTTTAAAAATGGAGTGTTTGCTTACAAAGTTGCACGTATAGTATACTGTTCTTACAATAATATTGGCCGAATCGCTCAATTTTCTCATAAGAAAAGACCAATGTCTCGTATTATCCCGAAAAAATCATCAACTCTATTGGCATACATGCCAGACGCACTATACCGCCAGGTCAGCCGCAGCAAAGCTCGAAATGCATTGTACTGATCTTCTGAGTCTATCAAAAGGTCGCTTAGTATAATGATACCACAAGTGACTAGTGTAAATATCAATCATTCGTGATCGTCAGGATGGCTGATCTGTCTGGCACTGAGTGTATATTCAAGAATTGCTACCTATTTGCTATCTTTGATATATTCGGAGAAATTTAAAAAATAATTGACCAGGCATTCTGGTATCAGGATGGCTGGTCGCCACTTTGTTCACCATGAAGGGAGCAGATTTTCCAGAAGATGAATTACCAATAATTGCTACCTTTATGCTACTTTCACGAATTAAAGGTATACGCTTTCTATCTACATTAGTTAAAAAAATATAAACGCAATAGGTAGCAATTCTTGAATATGCACTCAGTCCTAGATGTCACAGGCGACCAGACATGCTGACGATCACCATTCATTCAACCTACTTACCATTTGTTAATCTCTGGCACGTTAGTAATGGCGACGGGTATGGCGCCCTTTTCGCGTACGAGCCGTACACATTCCGCGTCTTCGGGAGCCCGCGTGTGGCGCCGCGCGATTATGCCCAGGGAATTCACTAGACCTTTCACCGCGTGACTTTCCTTTGCCGTGAATGGGACGCCTGGGAAACGTAAACTATAATAAAAATTACATAAATATATATTTCCTTTTTATTATAATATTTCCGCTTTTTTAAATCTATCATAGTCTAATACGAAATTTACTAGACTTTATACATAAGTCAATGACATTATAACATAATTTTTTGTCTATGGTATGTCAAACCAAAACACTGTAACATCAAAAATAGCATTTTTATAAAAAGCTGCGTAAAGGATTTTTCGATTTTTTTATAATTTTAGAGGTTAATAACATAAAAACAAATCTATCTAGTCATTTTAATTTCACTTTCGAAAGGAAGTTATTTCTATTGAAAAACGAATAATTTTTTTTTCCCTCGTTAAGAGGGAGCAGAGGAAAAAATCCTAATCTTCGATTTGATTTTAGTGGGGTATATCCACTTTAAAGTTAAAAATAAAATATTGTATGAGTAACTACACGATATATTCAAGCATAGACATTAATCAGAAACATTTTTTTTTTTTTTTTAATCTTTATTTATTTAGAAACTTTTATACAAAGTACATGACAGTTTCATCGTAACTTAACCTAAACTTTACAAATCCGGGTGACGCTGCTGTAGAGCCGATTTAATGAATAATAGTATTTTTTTTGCCCGTTCCGTATGGGGGTTGCTTAACACACAATTAACAGCACCTACGGATAATCGGTTAATCTGCAGGTCTCTCATCAACGCCGCCCTCTGTTGCTCGTACCGGACACATTCCATTAACAGGTGATATGCATCCTCCACAACTCCGCATAGTTCACAATTTGGAGAATTATGTTTCTTCATTAAAAATGCAAAACTGTTTAATGGAATGTGTCCGGTTCTTATTCTTAGTGCTATTACTAGTATTTTCCTTCCATAGCCACACTCTGTAAACCAAGGTATACGAGGAGGCTGACACTGAATTGTGCGATACCAGATGCCTTTTTCTCTCGATCTCATATCGAAATATTCATCCCACATTTGAGCACATTTCAACTTATATTTGAAGAGAAATTCTGAGTAGCATGGAAGTATATTCATCTCTTGTCCTTCTGTTATTCCACGCTTAGCTAGAATGTCAGCCTCCTCATTCCCCTTTAGTCCAACATGAGATGGTATCCACTGCAACTTCAGTTGTACATTTCTGTAAACAAGTTCTTGTATTTTAGCTATGATCGTATATGCTATTGGTGTACCGCGATGTCCTTGAACACAACGAATTAAATGTTGTAGAGCACTCTTGCTATCAGTACAAATGACTATATTATGACTATTAGTATTCATTACATACGATAGAGCTTCTGATATAGCAATGAGCTCTGATGACATGATGCACATTATGGGTGAAGTTTTGAAACATTTACTAAATCGCATTGTGCCCTTTTTCTTGTTCGTTGGAACGTAGAACGCTGCGCCTCCACCATTAACACTCTTTGCTCCATCTGTATACATAACCTGTGATTCTAGATACTTTTCTTCTAGTTCTAATTGTATGTCGAACTTGACAGTATTTAAATCTAAATCTCTCTTTTTATTCTTGACTGACTCTAATTCTAGCACTACAATATTATTTAAGTTTATATTAGTTATCCATGTATTTAACCTAAACATTTCCAAAGGTGACGAAGAGCTCACCCGTTCTTCTTTGACTTCCTCATATACAATAGCTAATAGAGGCTTTTTCTTATTTCTCCAATATTGATTTGAGCAAAGAGTGTTAATTTTGGCTAGTAAAGTTACATTAATATTAGCTGTCAACGATAACATTTTGAGACAATATTTGTATGCCAAGTATTTTCTTCTTATATGCAGAGGAACGATGCAAAGCTCGCTTTCCATTGTATGTATTGGAGTGCTTTTGATAAACCCTCCAATAATTCTCATAGCCCGGTTTTGTAGTCTATCTAACTTGCTTAAGTGTGTTTTCGCCGCATTATCATATAGGAAACAACCATAGTCTATTCTGCTTCTAATTATTGAAATATAAATTCGTCGTAGATGCTTTGGATGTAGACCCCATCCAGACCCGGCCAGTACTTTACATATGTTTAAATGTTTTAAAGTTTTTCCTATAGTTTCATTGATATGTTTTCCCCAACAGAGTGACTTATCCAGCCACATACCCAAATATTTGTAACAATCTACTTGGTTCAAAGACATGTTGTTTATCTCTAAGCTTATGTGATGCCTTTTATGCCCCCTACTAAAAATACAATATTTGCTTTTTACCGTTGAGATTCTTAGACCGAGTTCATTTACTCCTAGCGTGAAGTTATGGATAGCATTTTGAATGTTGGCTTTACTATCGTTTATATTCTTTTTACATGAATATAACACGAAATCATCGGCATATTGACAAAAAGAGACGTCGCTAATCTTTTGTCCTAATGTACCTGTCGCTAAATTAAAAAGTAAGGGGGAGATGGGGTCTCCTTGGGCCAGTCCTCTACAAGTAAATCGTATGACCGTACCTAACTCATCCTTCACCTTAAGTCTCCGTTCACTTAGAAAGTTCCAAAAATATTGGCATATCCTTTTGCCTATGGATAAATTATCAAGAGTTTTAATTAGACTTTCAATCATTAAATTGTTGTACGCATCTTCTATATCCAAAAAGCAGGCGATCGTTGATTGCTGTTTTGTGAAGCCTATTTGAACTTGTGTTATTAACTGAGTTAAACAGTCGTGGGTGGACTGTCCTCGCCTAAAACCGTACGTAAATTTTGATAGCACATTATTCCTCTCTATAAACCATTCCATACGTTTCCCTATCATTGAGTGAAAAATTTTACATAAGCATGACATCAAAGATATCGGTCTTATTTTAGGCGCACATCCGGGTATATTTCCCGCTTTCGGTATAGTAACAACGACTATGTCCCTCCATTGATATGGCAGCTCTCCCGTACGCAAAATTTCATTATATAGTTTCAGCAAGATCATTTTTCCGATTGATGGTAAATTATATATCATAGAGTATGTTATCCCGTCATCGCCAGGCGCGGAATCTTTCTTTTTTAAGCAATTATACAGTTCCTGTAACGTAAATTGAGATTCAAGTTGTATATTTTCTGATTTTATCACAGGCGCTGGCGGGGTAACATAATCGGGGGCTAGACTCTGTAGCAATTCTTTTTTCTTCTGTAAGGAGACATTCGATTTTGGGGTTTTATATCCTTTAATCCAGCGCATTCTTCGCCACATCTCGGCAGCTGATACGGATTCATCCATAGCATCACAATACTTATTCCAATTACATGTTCTAGCTTTACACATTTTCTTTCTCGCATTCAAAGTTTTTTCCTCCAGTATCTCTAGATTTTGGGGTGTAGGGTTTTTTCTGAATTGCTTCAAGGCCAGTCTTCTTATTGCTACTTCTTTAGAAAGTGTTGAACTCCAGTAAGGTTTCGATTTAAAATTTGTAGATGGGTTATTACATATTTTATACATTGGTATATTGTCATCTGCCGCTTTGTTTATATGTTCAATTAATGTATTATACAACGTTTGAACGCTACACTCTTCCGAGAAATGTGAAAGGGATGCTTCTAGACATTTATTGTACTCTACCCAATTAGCCTCTTTTATATTTCGTTTCTTAGTAGGTTTAATCAATTCGTAATAATTCATTCTTATTTTAATGAAAATGTGGTCACTCCCAAGGTTTTCATTCATTGTATTCCAGTCACAGTTTAATCAGAAACATAAAACAATAAAGTTTCTTCGATAGCTAAAACGTGATTTTCATATGTATATTTTTATATTTTTAATGACCTCTAATTTTCACATTTTTTTTATTTATCCTCGAAATGCTACAGGTTATTACGACAAAAATTAGATAATTAATTATATTTATGCATGATCGACAACTGTCACTACGGATTTTTTTTAATCCCTTTAGTTTTAGAGTTATTCCGATAAAACGAATTTGGTACTTTTAATGCGCAAAATTCAACATCTCCTGTCGCATGTCACGCGAACTTCAGGCATATATTTGTTTCACAAATTTGGGCGGAGCCAACGTCAAAACTTCTTTGCCTTACAAAGCAAGGAAAATCAGTTGCGACCATAATGAATGAGATGTCATTGGTTTACGGCGACTCTTGTCCAGGAAAAACCATGGTGTACAAGTGGCACAATTTATTTAAACAAGGAAGGGAATCCCTTGAAGACGATCCGAGGCCGGGCAGGAGCATCGAGGTGACCACGCCAGAACTTATCCAAAAAGTTGAAAAAATTGTACTGGAAGATTCTCGACTAAAGAAGAAACAACTCGCAGAAATGGTTGGAGCATCAGATACAACCATTTTTAAAATTCTTCATGATCATCTTGGCATGACTAAGGTCAGTGCAAGATGGGTGCCGAGAATGCTCACGCCGCCGCAAAAACAACAGCGCGTCGAGTGTTCACGTGCATTTTTGGACCTCTGTAATGAAGACAAGGATGATGTATTGAGTCGAATTGTTACTGGAGACGAAACTTGGGTTCATCATTATGAACCTGAGTCGAAACAAGACTCCATGCAGTGGCATAAAAAGGGCGCAACACCCCCTAAGAAGTTTAAGGTGTCACAGTCAGCTGGGAAAATCATGGCAACGGTCTTTTGGGACTCGGAAGGAATATTATTAATCGACTATAAAGATAAAGGTGTTTCTATAACCGGGGAATACTACGCTTCAATATTAGAGCGACTTAAAGAAGCCATTAAGGAGAAAAGACGGGGAAAATTCACGAAAGGTGTGTTGCTTTTGCACGACAACGCGCCCGTTCACAAGAGCCGCGTTGCGTTGGCTGCCCTGCATAAGTTGGGCTTCGATATTTTAGATCACCCACCCTACAGCCCAGACCTGGCCCCGAGTGATTATTACCTGTTTCCAAAAATGAAAAAAGAGCTGCGGGGTAAAAAATTTACCACCAATGATGAAGTCAAGGAGGCAGTTTCGGCGTATTTTATAGACAAAGACCAATCATTTTTTTATGAGGGTATAAATAAATTTATTGAAAGATCTGAAAAATGTATTCGTCTTGCAGGTGAATATATTGAAAAGGAAAAATAATTTGGTTTTTTTATTTCGACTCCTTATCCCCCATTCCGCGAATATAAAAACCTCGTATGTCAAAATAATTTCTAAATTTTAAAACTTAACAATGTATTTTAGTTTTTAATATCTCATTCAAAAACCACTAATACCTCCAAAGTTGAAATGTCAAGGTACAGATTAGGCCTAGAGAAATCATATGAGCGCTGTTAAATCAAAACATTGTAAGGGATTTTACAGTGTATTGGTTTGATATGGCCGTGGACTAGATTTGTGCGCCGCGTGGTCGCCGATGAATTTGTTGTTGGTGTTGCAAAAATTTGTTTTATTTTAATCAAGTATCAGTCACTTTGTTAATTTTACTATAATTCAATAAATATTTGCGTACAATTAAAATTACTTTGTTCCTGTCTACGTATATCCTATTCACATTGACTTACAAATAAATGGACGACGGGTCTAATACAAAAACCACGAAAAAATGTCCCAAGTCAACCTATTTAAACGTAGTGACATGTAAAGGAATATGAAAAAGCTAAAACGTTGAAGTTCTTAGGTTTTCGCGATTGTTACACATAGGAAATGAAACTATTTTTCCGGATTTAAATCGCGTATATTTGGTTTTTCAAACAAACCGACGTTTCGGCCCTTTACAGGTCCCATGGTCACGGTTGACTGAGGTGGTACAGTC